TTGGATAAGAATCGATATTTAAGGACATATATTTCTTCAAACGTTTATTGATGCTGTTTTTATAAAGGTCTATTTTTTTCCCATTAGTCGATCAAAGATGATGCCAAACTACTGTTATTACTAGTAATGGTACGATTGTTACTAATAATAAATCGAAGAAATAAGTATTCTTGCTATTCATTCAAATTGGATGAGATCGATTAGATTTTGGATAAAGAATAGAAAAACTTCTAAAAATCTTAGATTCCTACACGTTGGCTGAATTCGAGTTAAGCGCATTAATAATGACATGCTGGTTAACGAACTAATGTCATTAGCAGATGTGTTCCTGCCACAAGAACTTCTTTTATTGGAAAAGCCCAAGCGTATTCCGAACAGACTCGACCCTGTTCACACTTTAGTGAAGTGCTCCAAAGCGTTTTAAAGGCTTAGCCGATAAGATTATGAAACGGACGAGCATTTAGAAAAAGAAAGAATGTATTTTTTTTTCTGCCGGATTCAAACTTTTGAATGTTATTTCATTGAAAGATTGACATCCCTTAGATTAGACGTTGGCTAGGTTTTACTGGAAAGAATATACAAGTTGGAATTGCAATTTTCTGTCAATCTGAAGAAAAGATGAAACGTTCTTTCTTACGGATTTTGTCGTTTATTCTCTTTTTCATTGATTTAATCTTTTATACACTTTATTCTATTTAATGGTGCATCCAGTAATAACAGAACTTATGAAGGTTAACCATCGCGCTCTACAGCAGGCATTTTATTTAGATATTTACTTAGCTTTGTTTGATACAAGGCCTTGGTAAGCATCAGAATAGTAATTATCTAAAGAGAGTAGTGCAGACGCTACGTATTACTTGAAGTTTGTTTCATTTGGTGGTTTGGTTTGCTTTACGGTATATCAACTTCAATGAGTTAATTAATGCCGACATTTTTTTTCCTGATAATATTCTGTTTTGTTAAAAACCTATTTCTGGTAATATTTTTTCCAGCAAAAATCAATTTCTAGTAATATTTTTTCCTTCAAAAATCTATTTCTGGTAATAATTTTTTTCAAAAATGAATTGCTGGTAATAAATTTTTTACAAAAACGTATTGCTAGTAATATCGTCTTCCTTAAAAATGTACTGCTGGTAATATTTAAAAAAAAATGTATTGCTAGTAATAGTTTTTTTTTTCTTCAAAAATGTATTGCTGGTTATAATTTTTTTACAAAGTATTTCTGGTATTAAAAACTATTTTTACACTTTCATGGTGTTTTTACCTCAGTTTCGGGGTTAACTATTTGCCCATAGCTGGGAACACCAGCAATTAAGAGGTGGTTCCACGCTCCTCAAAGCCTCCTGATCAGAGGCCTTGCTGTTTGTACGTAGCTTATCGTCTTACCCTGGACGCGGATGTAGTTTATCGTCATACTCAGGGCGGTCACTTGGTAGAAAGTTCACTCTAATAATATTGCCATTAACTTCTTGTCTATTAATTAATCATGCAAGCAGCAAGTCAATTTTATATCTGACTGGCAATATGACCGTGCAAGGAAACTATGGGGTGAAGAGCAAAAATGACAGCATAATGTGTAAGGAGAATTATTGATTTTACTAAGTCCATATACTGCACCAGATTACACCTTCTAGTTTACAAGGTCGACAAGTGTTGTAACCTAGGGAAGGTTACTGAATAGAATAATTAAACGAAGGTTCGTAATGAACGGTAATACTTAAGACAAGAACAACACATATAAGATTCGCCAGCGGCGCGTAGAAGTAGTAGTCAACTGCTAAAAGTGAATCAAGTGAATTCCACTATGAATCTCCAACTGCAGGATATCTACCAAGGGCCTCACGCAATCAAATGTGGCACAAGGCCGAATTTAATGTGGAGTATCCGAGCCCGTAGGCTCGGCCAAAATTTCCCTGTATAAAACGGGGTCGGGTAGCTGTTTCCCGAGACGAGACTCTGCCCTTCGACATAGCCTTGTCTGGGGATCCTCTCTGCTCGGAGGCAGAGAGTTTGACCAGCACAACTGGAGACGAATCTTCAACTGCAGACCAACATACAGTATTTACTACTGTATTTATGCGAATGGGGACATACCCATTATCGTCCGTAGGTATGCTACAACAGCAAGTATATGGGCCTGTATTACAATGAATCTATTTATATAGTGGCTGTTACCACTAAATTGTATTGTAACGAGAATAATGGATTGTTAAAAAAATTGGTGACAAATATAGTGATCAGAGCAACCCATTCACAGCAACGCGTATAACACAACCGATTCCATATTTTATGCAAGAGTTGTTATAATCACCATTTAATATCAATTATGTACTGTTGGATTAAACTAAATAATAGCACGAGAAATGAAAATTTATCGCATATAATACAAATGCTATTTTGAATTGTTATTTCACTGTCTATCTATCTATCTATCTATCTATCTATCTATCTATCTATATATATATATATATATATATTTGCTTCTTATTTGCATCATCAAGCGTGGTCAGTATCGAGATAGGTGACCACTTGGGAATACCAGGTGCTGTAAACTTGGATGTGCGGGTGGTGTTATTGATAATAACTCGAAATTGTTATAAAATAAAATAAGACGTATCTCGGCTGATTTGCAGGCAAATAAACTAACATACTCAAGAGCGAGACCCGGATGTGAACGGGACAAGGCCCCGTCATAAAATGACTATTATCGTCGTTTACGCATAGCCCCGACGCACGAGTTCCGGTCGAAAAATAAAATAATATTTTAAAGTGTTTCTATTTTTCGACCAATAAAAATGCTTCCCTCCTAATTATATTCGCGTCGTTTTTCGAGCCTGGTAAGCCATAAAAAGGGTCACGCGGTGAAGTACAACAGCAGTGAACAGGAGGCCAGGGAAGAGATCTGTCACGGGCAGTCAGCAGCAGCCAGCAGCAGTAGCGCCACGCCAACCAGCGAGAACTACTTTGAGAGATCAACCCAGGTCGGCAGCCGGCTTGTGAACTATACCACAAGGTAGCTGTCCCGAACCCACACGTTCCTATTGAAATAAATCACGTAAATCTATTTCTGCTGTTGTCGTATTTCTTTCTTGTAACCATACGCTTGTCTATAACTCGAAATTGTTAATCGAAAAGCCGAGTTCCAATTCCAGTTAGGATGGTCATATTCATTTACGCGCAAATATCCTTGGAAAAGGTATTAATCCATCTCTTACCCCCCAGCTATGGGTTAATTAGTAAGACGTGTGTCATTAAATCATTATTATCTCTAAATATATTCTTACAATCTAAAAATATTTACTGGCATTAAATAACTTACAAAGGGTTGATAAGCCGTAGAAAATGAATCAATCAACCTGTTTCTTATTTCATTCATTGCACCTTTTACAAATAGATGATCTGGAATTAATTGCATAAGTTCCTTTCCTAGGACGAGTCTCAGTGCTTCCAGCTAACCATTTTACTGTTCCAAGACTAAAAGTTCTTACTAAAACTTCCTATCCTCTACCAAAACATAGGAGAGTAATTTAAAAGAATTCTCTTACATGACTCTTGTTCAAGCAGTTCCACATCAAATGTTACTCCAATAAGTCTTATGATGGTGATCTCTCTCTCTCTCTCTCTCTCTCTCTCTTTGGTTGCTTTCGTTTTTTTCGAGTTGTTCAGTATAAGAGTGGGAAATTTTTATAAAATTCTGAACAGCTTCTTTCTCTCTTTGTTTTCACTACAGCCCGTATTTTGCATAAGGCTAATTGTGTTCATTTTTCTGAATCTGGTCGCCGTTCGTTACTGTCGATCAGTCAGTTATACGCCATACGTGATACACGCTTAGGCGATCATGTATCTTTCGATACCTGACTGACGAGGCAGATTTTTCACGAAGTAGGTTGCCATTTCTTTCTGCAGTAGACCAGTTGTCATCCAAGGCTATAGAACCCGGTCTGGGGGGTGGGAGAAGAAGAGGATTCATACCTTTCCCAAGCGTATTAGCACGTAAGTGAATGTAATGGATTCGACTGGAATTCGAACTCGGCTCTCCGATTTCTCAGCCGCATTACTCTACCGTGCCTACTGTCGACACTGCCATGAAAAATGAGCACTTTATATCCGAATGTTAAATCGAAACTCACATAATTATGTAAATATTTCTTGAAGGTGAAATTTATGTTCCTCGTTAGTTTTACTTACAATAGTTATGCCCTGTGCACAACAGCAAATGGGAAAATATCCTAACATTGTATTTATAATTTGTTGAAAAGTTGCTGTTGTCCAAGAGACAGTTCATTGAAGGTTCTCTCTGTTTGTGTGTGTTTATTGTGAGTAAAGATTTAGTTTTTCTTTTATTTCTTGAAAGTAGGTGTCTAAAATGATGATTTCGAAAAAAAAAAAAAAATGGTAACAATTTAACATTTTAATAATCTCTGGCTATCGTAATAAATACGAATAATTTTGTAATTCCTTATTTAATCTTGTAGACAAGTTTCTGCACTAATGTAACATATTATTTTTCCTCATAATTAAAAAAAGGATCAGTAGGAACAAAACCAAACGAAAACAAAGAAGAATTTATGCCCATTACTCATATAAATCTCACTCAATTTTGCTTGTTTCTTTCTTGTATAATGAAGCCATATCACCGAGGATAAATTCGGGTAAAAATAATTTTACTAAAATACATATTGAAACATTTGAAAAGAGCAAGTCTCTTGGTTTGTAGCTTTTTAGCGCATTTTTGACTCGACTGTTTTTGTGTTATTCCTTTCTAATAATGTTTACTCCAAAACGATCGTCACGCTATTGAATTTCTGAGTTGTGCTTTAAGTTTATTAATCTCTGAAATTCTTTGGTTACTGACCGTAAAGAGATTTTTTTCATGCTGGTCATTTTATAAATTAAATTTGAATCGTAGCGTCCCTAAAAATGCCAGTATGTAGCCAAGAAAATATTGTCTACTATACTGGCAACATGCAGTTCTTGATAATGATTGAGAATCGAAAGTGTTAAGATATATAAAACGACATAGATAGATAGATAAAGGTGAGACTGTGATAGATAGATAGATAGATAGATAGATAAGAAGAGATTGTGAGACTATGATAGATAGATAGATAGATAGATAAGGAGAGATTGTGATAGATATATAGATAAGGAGAGATTGTGATAGATAAGGAGAAACTGCGATTGATAGATCGATGAGAGACTATGATAGATAGATAGATAGATAGATAGATAGATAGATAGATAGATAGATAGATAGATAGATATGAGACTGTGATAGATAGATAGTGTTGTGGTACGATACACCTAATTTACATAAGTGGAGTACCGACCATATAAATATGGGTTGGTACCGGAAGACGGAGGGAAAAAAGTAAGAAGAGATCGAATCGAGAGACTCTGCCCGACTGCGATTTAGTCAACCCATTCTGCAGGAACAGTCTTCCCAAGAATATACCAAAACTAACTGTAAATATTGTGTACCTTTTCCTTGTTTCAATACATTTTGTTTACGTACATTTTGTGTTGTATTATTATTATTCCATGCTTATCCAAGTTTCAACAGATAGATAGATAGATAGATGTGAGACTGTCATAGATAGCTAGATCTAAAAATCCTGAGGAAGATGCAAAACAAGAAAAGATGAAACCAACAACAGAATATGGTAGAAAAAAAAAGTTGTGGTAAGGAAAAAAAGGCGTTAAATAAAAATCAAATGCGTTTTGTTTGAAGAAATCTAATATAAAAAGGAACAGCAGGAAAGTAGAGGCGGTTCAAGTGAAAATGCAAAGAAAAAAAGAAAGAAAAGAAAGTGTGAAGAATTCACATTTCGAATATAAACAGAAAAATGTGTTCCAAACGAGTCTAAAGCATGAAAGAAACCAACGAAGAGTTCAAGGGCGAAAGTGTACCAAGTTTTATAAAGAACACACGTGACAAACGGTGCGAAAACGAGGCTGTCGGGATCGATGCATTAATGATGGCTAGTGTTTATTTTTCCAGATGGGAGCCAAAAATGAAATTGACCCCAAAATAAGTTAAGTCGCTTAATAAGTCAATTGTATAACTGATACAAGATAAAAATCAGGATACTCTACTTATCTCTTTCTCATAAAATCTTTCTATTTTTTTTCGTTTTACTATTTCGACTTGACTATTTCTCTCATTTTCAGAACTCATTCTTTCTAACTTTAACTCTTTCTGGTCTTCATTTTCTAAAACTGTGACTATATAAATCCACCACCCTCTTCTCTGATATTCTATTTTTCAAACCCACCTGTCAGTGTCGCTTAGAAAACCTCATTAAGTCATTTACCACTCATCAATCTAACTCATTGTCTGTGTCTCCCAACACTACTTTCTCAAACCGATCTCATTGTGTCACTCACACCTCCTTTCTCTGACTCTCACAACTCCTCTCTCTAACACACATCTCTGTTTCTCTCACCACTTCTGTAATTCATTGTCTCTGTCTCTCACCACTCCTCTCTTTAAACCACCTCTGTGCCTCTCAACACTCCCCTCTTCTAACTGATTGTCTGCGTCTCTCACCACTCCTCTCTCTAAAACACATCTGTGCCTCTCAACACTCCCCTCTTCTAACTGATTGTCTGCGTCTCTCACCACTTTCTCTCTAAAACACATCTCTCTAAAAACATTGTCTGTGTCTCTCACCTAAAAACACATCTGTGTCTCTCACCACTACCCTCTTCTAACTGATTGTCTGCGTCTCTCACCACTCCTCTCTCTAAAACACATCTGTGTCTCTCACCACTCCTCCCTTCTAACTGATTGTCTGCGTCTCTCACCACTCCTCTCTCTAAAACACATCTGTGTCTCTCACCACTCCCCTCTTCTAACTGATTGTCTGCGTCTCTCACCATTCCTCTCTCTAAAACACATCTGTGTCTCTCACCCTCCCCTCTTCTAACTGATTGTCTGCGTCTCTCACCACTCCCTCTCTAAAACACATCTGTGTCTCTCACCACTCCCCCACTTCTAACTGATTGTCTGCGTCTCTCACCATTCCTCTCTCTCAAAACACATCTGTGTCTCTCACCCTCCCCTCTTCTAACTGATTGTCTGCGTCTCTCACCCTCCTCTCTCTAAAACACATCTGTGTCTCTCACCACTCCTCCCCTTCTAACTGATTGTCTGCGTCTCTCACCACTCCTCTCTAAAACACATCTGTGTCTCTCACCACTCCTCCCTTCTAACTGATTGTCTGCGTCTCTCACCACTCCTCTCTCTAAAACACATCTGTGTCTCTCACCACCCCTCCCCTTCTAACTGATTGTCTGCGTCTCTCACCATTCTCTCTCTAAAACACATCTGTGTCTCTCACCTCCCCTCTTCTAACTGATTGTCTGCGTCTCTCACCACTCCTCTCTCTAAAACACATCTGTGTCTCTCACCCTCCCCTCTTCTAACTGATTGTCTGCGTCTCTCACCCTCCTCTCTCTCTAAACACATCTGTGTCTCTCACCACCCCTCCCTTCTAACTGATTGTCTGCGTCTCTCACCATTCCTCTCTCTAAAACACATCTGTGTCTCTCACCACTCCCCTCTTCTAACTGATTGTCTGCGTCTCTCACCACTCCTCTCTCTAAAACACATCTGTGTCTCTCACCACTCCCCTCTTCTAACTGATTGTCTGCGTCTCTCACCACTCCTCTCTCTAAAACACATCTGTGTCTCTCACCACTCCTCCCTTCTAACTGATTGTCTGCGTCTCTCACCACTCCTCTCTCTAAAACACATCTGTGTCTCTCACCACTCCTCCCTTCTAAGTGATTGTCTGCGTCTCTCACCTCCCTCTCTAAAACACATCTGTGTCTCTCACCACTCCCCTCTTCTAACTGATTGTCTGCGTCTCTCACCATTCCTCTCTCTAAAAAACACATCTGTGTCTCTTACCCTCCCCCTCTTCTAACTGATTGTCTGCGTCTCCCACCACTCCTCTCTCTAAAAACACATCTGTGTCTCTCACCACTCCCTCTTCTAACTGATTGTCTGCGTCTCTCACCATTCCTCTCTCTAAAACACATCTGTGTCTCTCACCACTCCCCTCTTCTAACTGATTGTCTGCGTCTCTCACCACTCCACTCTCTAAAACACATCTGTGTCTCTCACCACTCCCCACTTCTAACTGATTGTCTGCGTCTCTCACCATTCCTCTCTCTAAAACACATCTGTGTCTCTCACCACTCCCCTCTTCTAACTGATTGTCTGCGTCTCTCACCACTCTCTCTCTAAAACACATCTGTGTCTCTCACCCTCCCCTCTTCTAACTGATTGTCTGCGTCTCTCCACCACTCCTCTCTCTAAAAACACATCTGTGTCTCTCACCACTCCTCTCTTCTAACTGATTGTCTGCGTCTCTCACCCTCCTCTCTCTAAAAACACATCTGTGTCTCTCACCACTCCTCCCTTCTAACTGATTGTCTGCGTCTCTCACCATTCCTCTCTCTAAAACACATCTGTGTCTCTCACCACTCCCCTCTTCTAACTGATTGTCTGCGTCTCTCACCACTCCTCTCTCTAAAACACATCTGTGTCTCTCACCACTCCTCCCTTCTAACTGATTGTCTGCGTCTCTCGCCACTCCTCTCTCTAAACCCCATCTGTGTCTCTCATCACCACTCTTTCTAAAACACATCTGTGTCTCTCACCACTGCACTCTCTTGCTAGCCGTCTCCTCCTTTATAAACTTCTCATTTTATCTGGCCCTTTTCCTATCTAACCCCTTTCTATATTAATCTCTCTTTATCTAAGCTTCTAATTTTCTCACTCTTGTCTTATCTAGCCAATCCCTGAATTTATTTTATAACCCTCTCGACCTCTAACACTCTACCTCTCTAACACCCTCTATCTCTCTTTATATGAGCTTCTCCTTCTCTATCCTTCTTCTCTAATCTTTTTCTCTCTTTGCAACATCTCTGACCCATCCCCCTCCAATCAAAACAACCTTCTTTTGTTTATTTAAATTCACTTTTTTTTTTATTGTCACGATTAAATTTTTTAAATATAAAAATAATTTATCATTTTTTCGAATTGACTTTAAATTTCAAATTTCTTTTCTCTTTGTCTTTAGACGCCATTTTCTTTTCCTTATGTATTTAGCATACGGTTATATCATTTCTGGTGTATTAAGTTGAATCATCGTAGAGGGCTCTTTTATTGTGACCTTTTACCACACAAAACGTACTTGAATATCTACAATGACTATTTCTGTCGTCAATCTTTTCCTCATCCTTTGCCTTTTTTTTAGCATCATAATTCGTCATTTTTAATCTGTTTTCCCCATTTTAAATCCATGGCTGCCTTGTCGCTTCTTTTCACTCGATTTCTGTTGTTTGTCTTTGCAAGAAGTATTTTTTCATGAAGGACTTCATCCAGAAAACGCAAATTTTCATTGCTATTCGAAAACTTATTCGTCTTCATTCATTTCCTGTTTTATTGCCTACACTCTCCAATAATCAGAAATCAGAGGTCCTTAACAATATTTTACAAATTCTTTTCAAGTATTTTTCAATTACAACGTACTGTCAGTGTACGTCAATTCAGTTCTCTTACCTTTCATCTATTCCATTATATTTTCTTTCTTTCTTTCTTTCTTTCTTTCTTTCTTGCCGCCAGAAAGATCCATGTCCTTTTCTTATCTCGGCGTGATCCTTTTTCATCGCCACACGCTGCTCGACCCACACATCATTTGCACAAACCCTTAACCTCAATGTTTATATTTAACCACTTATCGGATATCTTCGATAATGCCAACTGCTTTCCAGCTTCCTTTTTATTTGTCTTTCTTTTTCTCTTTCTCTCTCTCGACGTTCATTTCCCGCCTTGAAAATGTTGTTCTCTTCCTATAAACCTCTTTTCTTCCCTCTTTACGGTTTTCTTTCTTCTACCTACTCTCTTTATTTTACTTTCTATTTCCTATTTCCTCTTTCTAATTTCCCATCCAATCGCCATTTCCGTCTCATTTTAGCACATCTTTTTTTTTTTTTTCGTTCTTTTTATTTATCGTCTAAATAATTATGTTTTCTTTTTTTTCTTCTTCCTACTCTCACTCTATCATTTGCCTCTTTTCTTCTTTTCGGTTTCATTCGTTCTTTTTCTTTTCTTTTTCATCCTTGCTTCTTAATTGAGTCATCATTGACGCTTCTTCTATCGCTTTCCTCTTCTCTTTCTAATCTTTGAAGTCGTTCAGGCGCTCCTTCGCTCCTCGAATGAAAAGATTAATCATTCTTTCCTGCGAAAAGTGTCCCCATTCCATTTCTTTTCTTCTTTATATCATCTGTCATTGAGCCAAACGAAAAATACGCATAAGATGGCGACGATGCAACAAAGGAGTCGATCTATGTAGAAGCAAACGACATCAAATTTGTAGCAGTTTTGATATTTACCCGATTTCTTTTTGCTATATTGTTTAGTTTTCTATTTTTGTTTTACTTTCTTTCTTCATTTTCTTTTCTTTCATTCTGTCTTTCTTCATTCTCATTTCTTTCATAATTTTCATTCTTATATTTCTAAATTCACCTTTTTTCAATTTTCATTCATTCATTCACTTTTTCTTTCTTTTTTCTTTCTTTTCCTTTTTAAATACTTCTTTCTTTCTTTCTTTCTCTTTCTTTCTTTCTTTCTTTCTTTGTAAGTTCACACTCTGTTCATTATCCTCCTATATCCTTATATCTTCTTTTTCTTCCCTTTTCTCGGGTTTTATTTTTACCCTCCACTTCACATTCCTTCCTTCCTTCCTTCCTTCCTTCCTTCCTTCCTTCCTTCCTTTATTCTTTCCTTCCTTCCTTCCTTCCTTCCTTCCTTCCTTCCTTCCTTCCTTCCTTCCTTTATTCTTTCCTGTCCGCGTTCGTTCGTTCGTTCGTTCGTTCCTTCGTTCCTTCCTGCCTGCCTGCGTTCCTTCCTTCCTTCCTGCCTGCGTTCCTTCCTTCCTTCCTTCCTTCCTTCCTTCCTTCCTTCCTTCCTTCCTTCCTGCCTGTGTTCGTTCGTTCCTTCCTGCCTGCCTGTCCTGCGTTCCTTCCTTGCGTTCCTTCCTTCCTTCCTGCCTGCGTTCCTTCCTTCTTTCCTGCCTACCTGTCTGCGTTCCTTCCTTCCTTCCTTCCTTCCTTCCTTCCTTCCTTCCTTCCTGCCTGCGTTCCTTCCTTCCTTCCTTCCTTCCTTCCTTCCTTACTGCCTGCCTTCCTTCCTGCCTGCGTTCCTTCCTTCCTTCGTTCCTGCTGGCCTGCGTTCCTTCCTGCTGGCCTGCGTTCCTTCCTTCCTTCCTGCCTGCCTGCGTTCCTTCCTTCCTTCCTTCCTTCCTGCCCGCCTGTCTTTGTTCCTTCCTTCCTTCCTGCCTGCCTTCCTTCCTTTCTTCCTTCCTGCCTGCTTGTCTGCTTTCCTTCCTTCCTTCCCACTTCTCTTTTTGTCTACTTTTTTTTAACACTTAACTTTGGGCTTTGATTTCTATAATCGGTGGCAATGATGGCGGCGGTGTGGCCAATAGCCTCACGAAATTAAAGAATTAATGATTCTCTTAATAGTCTTATCGATTAATCACCGTGTCATTCAAACTATAACTTTTTCTTCTTCTTTTTTTTTTATTTTTGACCTCTCAGTTCACGTCTCACAATCTTCCTGTGTACTTTTGGGTGTGGACTCCTTAGTTGGCTTTCCATAAAAAGATCTTGAGAACTTGATCCACGGCAATTTCAATCAAAGTTGGTTTTCATGTCTGTATGGATATTACATTAGTTTATATTAGATATTACATTATATTACATACTAGCAGTATAAACCATCTTCGTCAGGGTGCTTCATTATTGGGAATTTTTGCCGTTCAATTGGAGCAGTTTAAGTTTAAAGTCATCCCACCCGAAAATCAATATTAGTAACAACAATTGGGTGCAACTGAGGCACACCCCCAAATGGGGGGGTTAACAATTTGAATGCGGGGGTAACCTTGAAAAGGGCCGTTTTTGCGTTCTCAATCTTGCAAGGAAGGAACCTCTTCCATGGACCGTCATATTAATAATATATGATAAGTTTTATTTATAATATATATATTTTTTTATAATTCTAATAATCTTTTGCTTTAGATTTCAACTCTCTAAACTGATTGTATGCTGTTTTTTACAGACATTATATTTTGTCTTTGATTTTTGCGCAAAGTGTAAAAAAAATCAGTTTTTTCGATTTTTCACCTTCAAGGTTGTAATTTTTTTTTTCCAGACAATTTGAACTTAAAACCGGCGCTGAAGAATTATCTATAAAACAAAAAAAAATTTCATCGAAATCGGATGGAAACTGTGGAAACGCATAAACAACATTCAATCACAAACACACATACATTTTAAGAATTATAGATATAAGATAGATTAACTTTATATGCTACGATCTAAGTGACACACACACGCGCACACACACAGAGGTAGCGAGTGGAGCTGATAACATTTTAGCAACTCTCGTGTCTGCGTGTGTGCACAATACATTGTTTATTTAAATAGAATAGTACTATTTTCCTTCATTTAAAAAAAAAATAAATTCGAGTAATAGGTAAGAAAAGCTTCTTTTGTTACTGAGTCAGTGTTCAGTGTTCGAAGAGAGTTCAGAGTTTCAATTTCGACCACTGAAAATTGGCACAACACGATCTTTTTGCAGTATTTTCTGTATGTTTGGGTCAGTGCCAGGCTAAACTTAAACAATTAGTAAATCATTAGACAGAACAAAATTCCACCCCGCCCAATAACCAATAGATGATAATCCAGAATTAATAAACTTCGGGATTAAGACAATTTCGTAATTTTGTTTCCCAGGGAGTTGGTTTGTGAATTCAAGTGAATAATCTACACTTATGGTTTTCATAGGTGGGAAATCTGTGATACATACAGGGAATATCTATCTATCTATCTATCTATCTATCTATCTATCTATCTATCTCAGTCTTCATATCTATTTATCTATCTCAGTCTGTTCATATCTATCTATCTATCTCAGTCTGTTCATATCTATCTATCTATCTATCTATCTATCTATCTATCTATCCATCTATCTATCTATCTATCTATCCATCTATCTCAGTCTGTTCATATCTATTTATCTATCTCAGTCTGTTCATATCTATTTATCTATCTCAGTCTGTTCATATCTATCTATCTATCTATCTATCTATCTATCTATCTATCTATCTCAGTCTGTTCATATATCTATCTATCTATCTATCACATCTATCTATCTATCTATCTATCTATCTATCTATCTATCTATCTATCTATCACAGTCTGTTCGTATCTATCTATCTATCTATCTATCTATCTATCTATCTATCACAGTCTGTTCGTATCTATCTATCTATCTATCTATCTATCTATCTATCTATCTATCTATCTATCTATCATCTATCTGTCTATCTATCTATCTATCTATCTATCTATCTATCTATCTCTATCTATCTATCTTCTATCTATCTATCTATCTATCTCATCTATCTATCTATCTATCTATCTAAGTCTGTTCATATCTATCTATCTATCTATCTATCTATCTATCTATCTATCTATCTCAGTCTGTTCATATCTATCTATCTATCTATCAGTCTGTTGTTATCTATCTGTATCTATCCAAGTCTGTTCATATCTATCTCAGTCTGTTCTATCTATCCATCTATCTATTTATCTATCTCAGTCTGTTCATATCTATCTATCTATCTATTTATCTATCTCAGTCTGTTCATATCTATCATCTATCTATCTCAGTCTGTTCATATCTATCTATCTATCTATTTATCTATCTCAGTCTGTTCATATCTATCTATCTCATTCATCTATCTATCTATCTATATCTCAGTCTGTTCATATCTATCTATCTATCTATCTATTTATCTATCTCCAGTCTGTTCATCTATCTATCTATCTATCTATCTCAGTCTGTTCATCATATCTATCTATCTATCTATCTATCTATCTCAGTTGGACTGTTTATTTATTTGTCTATCTATCTATCTATCTATCTATCTCAGTTGCACTGTTTATTTATTTATCTATCTATCTATCTATCTATCTATCTCAGTTGCACTGTTTATTTATCTATCTATCTATCTATCTATCTATCTATCTATCTATCTCAGTTGGACTGTTTATTTATCTATCTATCTATCTATCTATCTATCTATCTATCTATCTATCTATCTATGTTTAATTACTTATTATAACTATAAGAGCAATTGATAAATATTCTTTTTTTTCTTGGACAGGAAGGATATTTCCCGACCGTTTCAAGAATAAACAAGTGACCCTGAATTTAATGTCACGAAGTCAATGGCAATTAAAGTTTCATTACACTGCAGAGAAATCATGAGAGATTGAACCAAGAACCTCCATCCTCGAACGCATACATGCACACATGTACATTTACAAATGTGTGCATAAAATGGCTTTTGGTTAATCGGTTAATATATATATATATTAATGCATGTTTCATTAAATAATATAGACAAGTTTTGTCTATTTATTTTAAGCAAATTCCTTTCAGATCGTCTGACAAGCTTAATAACATTATCATTGAAAGACGAAAGAAAATCACCATATTGATACATGTTTTTTAATCCTATCTAAGCCTTCGGCTTACATAAGCCATCATCAAAGATGACAATAACATTACAATAAATTAAACAATACACGGACATAGCAACAATGATAGTTTGTTTTTGTTTGCATGGAAGATTTCCAACCAACGACAAAATCGTGCATACGAGATACTGGAAACGAAAATCGCACCGCGCCCCATGACATCACATAGGAACACTCGAGAGTGAAAACGAGAAATGTTAATTATGGTAAGCCGTGAGTATAAACCAAATGGCTTCTGTTATCAATTATAGGCATTTAAGTATATTTGTGGAGTTTTCATCGATTATTCAGGTTAGGTTTCAACTATTTTATGTATATAGCTTCAAGAATATTTAGTTTTTGTTTATTGTTTTCATGTTTAAGTATAGTTGTGTTTACAACGGAATTGCGACCAGGCATGTTGTTTTAAACGCCTAAAAATGACAGAATTATTCAAATGTAGAGTCAATTATTGGAAGGAGGCACGAATGCTCCAATAGCCGATTTCGAATACCAGCCGAATCCATTACATTTACTTACGTGCTAATACTCTTGGTAAAGGTATGAATCCTCTACAGCTATGGATAAATAGCAGGACAGACGGGGTCTATAGCCTTGGATGGCAGCTGGTCTAGGAGAAGGTCAACTCTGAATTCAAAACACGCGGAGGGTCGTTTGGGGGACCTTGTGGCACGTAGTGCACCAGGTCTCTGTATTCGGCCTTTCAAAAAGTGTGGATGGTCCTGCACGAAACCCTCACCATTATAATCAAATCATATGTCCTGGTGTCTGCCTGTCGGTTCCTAGGAGCTGGGCTGCTTGACCCTCATACGTCGAATAGAGTCCAATATATATATATATATATATATATATATATATATATATATATATATATATATATATGTTCGAATGCAATGAGAACGAAAATAATATAAATTGTAACGTTCACAGCATTAATTCAAAAGAGGGTTCAATACCGATACTAGAGCAGTAATTATTTATTATAATTTTTTCATAGAGACAAAAACAGTTTACTCGCTACAAAGATGCAACTTCGTTTCGGTGCATTTAGTTGCTCCTCGACTGGTGAGAACGCAGTTGCATCTTTGTAGTGAGTAAACTGTTTTTGTCTATATGATAAAATATATATATATATATATATATATATATATATATATATATACACGTTTCATTAAATAATATAGACAAGTGTTGTCTATTTATTTTATGTCAATTTTTTTCGTAACATCTGATAAATGCATACTAATTATAAACAAAATGAAAATATACTAAAAAATTTAGTAAATTCTAATATATCAACTACAGATCCTAGCAAAAAAATTAAATTAATCATATACTAAACCCAACCTAAACAAAATAAATTATGGCATCTCTACAAATATTCTTAAATATCTATAAGTGGTAACAGAAGCCATTGGTTTATACCAACGGCTTTCCCTACTTCATACTTCTCCAATTCACTCTCGTGTGGTCATATGTGACGTCATGAGATGCGGTGCGATTTTCGCTTCTAGCGTCTTATATGCACGTGTTTATCGTTACTTAGAAATCATCTATGTAAACATTCACAGATTGTCATCACTGTCGTGTCCGTATATTGCTTAATATGTTGTAATTGACATCTTTGATAATGGCTTATGTAAGCCTAAAGCTTAGATTGTATTAAAAAAAAAATATGGATCAATTATGTGAATTTCTTTCTTCGTTCAACGATAATGTTATTAAACTTATCAGATGTTACGAAAAAAAATTACATAAAATAAATAGACAATACTTGTTTATATTATTTAATGAAACGTGTATGAATGAAAAGATGCTGCCTAAATACACACAATATATATATATATATATATATATATATATATATATATATATATATATATATATATATATTAAATGTTTGCTTTTATTCTGTATTTATCGTTTCTATTTCTCCAAACAAAAGTCTCTCACTCAGTTGAAATGTCATAGTTTTTGGTATTTTGTTCTCTTTTTTTTATCTCTTTAACGAAGACGAAATATTGGACCTGCCTTTGTTCTAATTAAGATCTGCGAGGACAAACATTTCTCACAGACAATTTCACAACGAAGATTTACCATCGTCTTCTGAGGAATTTGATTGCACTTGTCTCAAAGAGATAATGATAAAGGATATCGCCTAGCAAGTCAGCTTATATTTAAGCAATTGCACGAAAAGTCTTTTTTTTTAGTATGAAAATATGAAATGTAAATACTCAAAATAAAGAAATAGAAGTTTACTTTTCGTTCGGCCGTCGATGCGTCAATTTTTTTTCCAGTTTTGAGATAAACAAAACGAAGAGAAAGGCTCTAAGGGGGGGGGACAAACAAGCAAAAAAAATGATCTGCTGAATGTTGACGCGAAACTCATCTCGTTCGAACGGGAAACACCTTCATTATTTTCGACAACTGACGCGAGATCCAATTTCCAGGTTCGATACGGATTCCCTTCCTGAAAGACGAACGATATTTCCGTTGCCGGGTTTTCCCGAAGTCGTTTCCGGAATTGGGCATGAGGTAACGGACATCGCTGGTGTTAAATCGCTTGGTGGAGACATTATTAGTATCGATTTTCTTCCTTTAAATCAAGTTAATCGATAAAGACATCCTGTTTGGAGTCTAGGGCGACGTTCAAAAGCCACTGCATGCTTCCCAATATTCTTTCCTAATTACGAAAAAAAAAAAAAAATGTAACCCTGAAAAAATTTTCGACGCCTATTGATCCTGGTTTTTAAAATTGTCCATTAAATATTGATACAGTCACTTGTTGGGAGAACAGAAGACTGAAGACTGAGAGGTCGTATATGCCATCGTGATTACCACCGAAATGAATGACTAGTGTCGCTTTAAATCAAAACTTGGAAGACGAACTTCCGAAAAAAGATTCTGGAATTGGAAATGAAGGATCAAAATGGAAGACTAATTATCATTTTTTTTATATCTCTCACTCTCTTTCTCTCTCTCTCTCTCTCTCTCTCTCTCTCTCACACTCTCTTTCTCTCACTCTCTTTCTCTCTCTGTCACTCTCTCTCTCTCTTTCTCTCTCTCACACTCTCTTTCTCTCACTCTCTTTCTCTCTCTCACACTCTCTTTCTCTCACTCTCTTTCTCTCTCTGTCACTCTCTCTCTCTCTCTCTCTTCAGACGTCATTGTCTTTTTTCGTGTTGCATTTTGAAAATTTTATATTCTTCAGAGATACATCATTGGCCTAGTAGAAAACTAACTCCATATATGAGTTCCAATGAAATAGTTATGGATCTCTTTCGCGTATAATTACTTGATTGTTCATAAGATTATGCAACTATAAAACTAATTCTTTGCAGAAGAGCTTATATGCATTTTGAAATTGATCATTATCGTTTTGTTTGGAGGCATTTATTATTACGAGTGTTAGCTTTTCTGGCTGCAAGGTATTCGCCTTCGGTTCGAAGACATGTCCGTAGAGGTACTGCAGATTCGAGCAGTAGAACTTTTCAACAAACTGAAATCTTGCTAAGAAACACAGAAATCACTTAAATATTTTCTCGAAAATCTACTGGTAACCCATTTATGACTGAAAATTTCAATTACTTATAAAATCAATGATATTTTATTGAGTTTTTCAAATGAATGTTTTATAAATGAATATAAGAATTTTTCTCCTTAGATTTCCCTGAAAGAGATTTTAAAAGTGTTGTAACCTAGAAAGTGTTACTGAATGAGGAATAACCAAAACGGAGGTTGGAAATGGAATCGTAATCTTTATAACATCAACAAAATACAATACTCGCCAGCGGCGTCAAGTAGGTAAACCACGGCTAGTGGTGGACTACTTAGCATATTACCCCCACTTACAATAGTGTCCAACGTATTTATGAGGATTGGAACATACGCATTAGTGTTCATAGGTACGGTATATAACAGATAAATAACGTCGAGAATAAATCAAAGGGATTTATTTTTAGGATATAAAGTAAGGCTGTATCTAGTTATTAAATATTGTCAGTCAGTTATGTGCCATGCGCGATATACGCTTAGACGATCATGTATCTTTCGATATATGACTGACGAAGCAGATTTTTCTTTCCCGCAGAAGGCTGCCATTTCTTTCTGCGGTAGACTAGTTGCCACCCAAGGCTATAGAACCTGGTCTGTCCTGCTATTTACGTATAGCTGGGGGGAGAAGAAGAGGATTCACACCTTTCCTAAGGGTATTAGCACATAAGTGAATGTAATGGAATTTGACTGGAATTCGAACTCGGCTCTCCGATTCCTCAATCCAAGCCGTTATCCATTACTCCACCGTGCCTCCACATTAAATATTGTAATGATCACCGTGCCTCCTTATTAAATATTGTAGTGATCACATAAAAACCTAGAATTAAAAAGAGCGCTGATAAAGTTCAATAAAACTTTTCCATATTTTTATTAATTCGTCTCTGTGTAAAGCTAGAAGTAATTGAAAGGTTTCGTAAATATCCCATTTGATATTTCTTCACATCTTTTGAATTAGTGTCCTCATTATTTACACTATTTATTCAGACAAAAATTAGTGGCCTTATATTTTCTGAT